GAGAGAGAGAGAGAGAGAGAGAGAGAGAGAGAGAGAGAGAGAGAGAGAGAAACAAAGGGCTCGGCCTCAAGGCTGATTCCAAAGGGAAGCTGCTGGAGTGCTTGTCCCTATCATAATAAAAGTCACAGAACACAGACTCTAGAGCCAAAGGGCCCCAACCAGACCCTTTGTCAGTTCTCCACTAGCTGTGAGATGGGGAGCCGTTCTCTTAAATCTCCCTGTCTTGGTTTCCTCGTCAGTAACATGAGAATGAGAGTCATATCTGTCTTGGAAGGTTGCTTGGGCTGATTTTCTTAAAATTTAGAATAAATATTACATGTATACAGCTGTGCCAGAGTGTGGATTCCTGCACATGTATGCAGTGCTCTTGGAGGCCAGAAGAGGGCGTCAGATCTCTTAGAGCTGAAGTTAAAGGCAGCTGTGCACTGTCCAGTGTGGGTGCTAGGAACTGAACTCAGGTCCTCTGGAAGAGCAGAACGTTTTCTTACCCACTGAGCCATCCACTTCATAAGGCTGTTATAAGAATGTATACTACACTGTATGTGTCAGAACAGTTTTTACTATTTTTACTAAAGTGTTTACTATTCATGCTTCTAATTTCTTTTCTCAAAGTGTTCCTGGCTTGGGGCCACCTGATTTTTGGACTTGATCAACTTTCCAGTCATAACACTAAGACTTTGAAGAAATTGAGCTTCGTTTATTTTTTATTTCTATATATATTTTAAAGATTTATTTTTACATGTCTGTATGTGTGTCTGTAAGTGTATGAGGATGCATGGGAGACACCATTGGCTTGTCACAGGGGTGGTAGCATCTGAACTTCTGTCCTCATGTTGTGTAACAATCACTCTTAACAGTCATCTTTCCAGTTCCTAGAAATCCAGTTTTAGAAATTGAAAAGGGGAATCTATTTGTTATTGAAGAGGCTCCATGTTCTTGGGAAACCATTTTTAAACACTGAACACTGGCTACATAGTAATTAGAACCTTCTAGCTGCCACCCAGTTATTGATATATAATCGGTGAACTCTGGCCTTACAAGGTTACACTTGCTCCCAGTTTTAGGCCCTGCCCAGTTGTGCTGAGCAGGTTAAGATTGTATTACGGTCTGGACAGTCTCTTCTTCTTATGTACACTAGCTATATTTAGGCCAGTTGAGATGAGTTTAATACGGTGCATATTGCTTTGAGTCCAGTTGATCCCAGAACAGCTGGTTCCGTCAGACAGAACGATGAAGTCCAATTTTAGCGAGAAGTCCCAGAAAACAAAGCATTCAGGATGCAGATCTATATGTTCCAGTGGGGCTGAGCTGTTGTCCGCCCTCACCTCCCAGATGGCTAGTCCACTTCAGGGCTTTGTTTTGCTTGTTTTTCATCTCCTTTATCCTTGGGTTCAAAATATTCTGTGTCAATGTGTGAATATAATTAGCATGCAGATGTGTAAAATGGCTTCCAGGGACCTTGTTTATTTTCCAAATAAGAAAATTTGGAAAGTTTTCAAAGTTTTCTCACTCAAGGAGAGTGAGTCCTGTGTTTTTCTAATTATAAAAATAAATCCCATTTTAGGAATGTTCAAATAATGCAAAAACTGAAATACTATGGAAAAGGCAAAACTGCACATTAGTGTTAATCTTTCTAGATGTTTCACAGCACGCATATATGTAGATATATAATTTATGGCAACCACCTGGTAGTATGCATCTATACTGTAATCTTAATGGGTAAATAAAATTCCAGGTCATGACTATGCTATGTTTCAGAGTAAGTCAGTGGTGATGTTGATGTTAGATCCCCACCCTGTTGTGGGAGGCCGCTTGTTCATTTCCTGGCCATCCAGACTCCCGAAATAATCACACAGAAACTATATTATTTGTCATACTGTTTGGCCAATAGCTTAAGCATATTGCTAGCTATCTCTTACATCTAGAATTAACCAATTTCCATTATTTTATATTTTACCATGAGGCTTGTGGCCTACCGACAAGGTTCCAGTTGGTAGCTGGCATCTTTTACCTCTGGTGGCTACATGGTGTCTCTTGACTCCTCCTTCTTTCTCCCAGCATTCAGTTTAGTGTTGTCCCTCATCCCCAGTTCTACTCTGCCCTATCATAGGCCAATACAGATTCTTTATTCATTAACCAATAAAAGAAACACATTTACAGAAGGGCTTCCTACACCACCCCACCATGTTTTCAGGACCCCTGAGTTTGATCGTTTCCCTTGCAGGAAGTCCCTTGTGACCCAGGTCTTGGCTTAGAGATGGAGGAATCAGGATCATCTTCCTTTGTTGTTCCGGAGCAATAGCGGCAGAACCTGGAGAGACAGCACAACACTAAGCACGACAGGCATGGCTGAGCAGAGTCTTATTTCATCTGAGCAATGGCTTCAGCTGCATGGGCTTAAGAGCAAGAAGCTGAGCTTGAAGCAGATCTTGTCCCAGATTGGATTCCCACAGTGCGAAGGTACAGTACTCACAGGCGGCCTTCAGGGTTCCTACCTCAGCTCCTGAGAAGCCATAGGCCTCTGCACTTGCTTGGATTCTACATCTCTGCCAGGGGGGAGTGCTTGCACATGCTCCACTACAATCTATGTACTTCACATAGAAATACAACTGGAATTACATAGATTCAATATTAATGCCGCTTCGCTTCATTTGTGTGTATGTGTATGTGTGCATGCATGTGTGTGTGCATATGTGTGTATATGTACGTGTGTGTAGGCCAGAAGAGGATGTTGCCCTCTATTTCTGTACACCTTATTTCCTCAACACAGGGTCTCTCACCGAGCCTGGAGTTCACAGATTTCCTGGTTTGCCTGGGAACTGTGAACTTCCGGCAATCTTTTGGTCTCCTCTCTTTCCCACCCTCAGCACTGGTGCACTGGCTAGTCTCATGTCAACTTGACCCAAACTAGATTTATCTGAAAGGAGGAAACCTCAGTTGAGGCAAGGTCTTCATGATAGTTGGCTGTAAGGCATTTTCATAACTAGTGATTGGTGGAGGGAGGGCCCAGCCCATTGTGGGTGATGCTGTCTCTAGGCTGGTGGTCCTGGGTTCTATAAGAAAGCAGGCAAAGCAAGCAAGGGGAACAAGCCATTTAAGCAGCAACCCTCCATGGCTTCTGCATCAGCTCTTGCCTCCAGGTTTCTGCCCTGTTTGAGTTCCTGTCCTGGCTTCCTTCAGTGATGGTCTACAGCATGGGAGTATAAGCCCAATAAACCCTTTCCTTCTTAACTTCTGTTTGGTCAAGGTGTTTTGTTGCAGCAACTAAAACAACTGGGATTATGGGTTTGTTCAGACACGCCAGCTTTTTCACTTGGGTTCTGGGGGTCATCAAAACTCAAGACCTTGTCCCTTATGCAGCAAGCACTCCAATCAGTGAGCCCTCTTCTAAGCCCATCAGTGTCATTCTTTGTGTCTGGGGGAATTGTGTGTATATGTGTGTTGCACATGTGTATTTTTTGTGTGTATGTATATATGGGGATAAGACTTCATATGGTGCCTTGACTCTCCATTTTAATTAATTAATTAAATTCTTTTTGCTGGGTGTGGTGGTGCACGCCTTTAATCCCTACACTTGGGAGGCAGAGGCAGGCAGATCTCTGAGAGTTCAAGGCTACCCTGGTCTATGTAGAGAGTTCCAGGCCAGCATGGGCTGCATAAAGAGGCTCTGTAGTGGGAGGCTGCTTGTTGGTTCCCAGCCGCCTGTCACACAGAATAATCACACAGAAACTGTATTAATTAAATCACTGCTTGGCCCATTATTGGCTAACTCTTACATATCAATTTAACCCATCTCCATTAATCTGTATATTGCTACGTGGCAGTGGTTTACCGGCAAAGTTTTGGCACGTCTGATTCCATGCAGCTCCATGGCTTCTCTCTGACTCTGCCCTTCTTTCTCCCAGCATACACCCTAGCTTTTTCCTGCCTAGTTCTGTTCTGTCCTGCCATAGACTAAGAGCAGTTCTTTATTCATTAACCAATAAAAGCAGCACATAGACAGAAGGACCTCCCACACCAAGACCCTGTCTCAAAAATATTTTATTTATTTAGCAGGGTGGTGGGGTATGTGGCAGTCAGAAGAGAAGCCATGGGGTCAGTTCTCTCCTTTCATCATGTGGGTTCTGGAGATTGAGCTCAGGTCTCCAGGTTTGGTGGCAAGTGCCTCTACCTGCTGAGCCATCTCTCCAGCCCTCTACTTTATTTTTTTTTTTTTTTAAGATAGGAGCTCTCATTGAACCTGGAGCTCCTGTATTTGGCTAAGCTTGCGGCCAGTGAGCTCTGCAGAACCAGCTGTCTCTGCCTCCCCAGTGCTGGGACTAAAGGTGTGCACCCCTGCGCCCCATGCCTTGCCCAGTGCTGAAGATCAGAACTCAGGCCCTCGTGTTTGTTTGGCAAGTACTTTACCAACAGAGTCATTGTCTCAGGCCTGATTTAATTCTTTGTAATGAAAAGATAGAAACTGCTTTTATATACTCACACCACAGCAGAGGGCTTGATTATCCTCTGGGATTCGCAATCCCCTTTTAGATTGATTGAAGTAATTGCTTTATTGATTAAGACAGGAGCTGTGTGCTGTCTCAGGAAGAAAGTGCATTTTTCCTTCAGGGGGCCTAATGGCTCATGGTTTTTATTTTATTTTATTTTATTTCATTTTATTTTTTGTTTTTTGAAACAGAGTTTCTCTGTAACTTTGGAGTCTATTCTGGAACTAGCTCTTGTAGACCAAGGTATCACCACTGCCTGGCTGGTTCTTATTTTCTTATTTTTTAATTTTTAGCTTTAAAATGCGAATTTATTTATTTATTCATTGTGAGCATATGTCCCTGGGAGGTTGTGAGTGTGCATACATGGAGATCAGAGGACAACTTGTGGGTCTTGGCTTTCTCTTTTTCCCAAATGGGTTCTGGGGATCCAACTCAGGTTGTCACAGTGGAGAACAAGTATGGTCACTGCTGATCCATCTCACCAGCCCGGAGGCATATATTTTCAGATGTCCTCATTATCATATTGGTTCTTATCTCTTAGTAATATCCACTCGCCACCCCTAGGCAGAATGAAATGTGTGAGAGTATTTTCATTTTCATTTTTTTTTTTGGATACTGCATTGACTTGAGGCTTTTCTGAAACATGGGGCCTGGGAAACAGGGCTCCTGAGTCAGTGTGAAGTGATAGCCCACTGCACAGAAGCACCTGCTCCAACACATCTGTAACATGGTGCATGAAGGGCCTGCCCTTAGGATAACTCAAATTAGGTGTAACACGATCAATAAAAACCCAGAGACAGATATTGAGGTTCAACCTGGAGGTCAGAAAAATAAAACAGCCAGCCACTGGCTCTTACTTCTACCTCAGTAGGAAATGGTGATCCTGCCTTCCGGAATCTCAGAATGAGACTGTCTCCTGCCATTTTATATTCCTCTCTAGTGCTGGGATTAAAGGCGTGCACTACTACCACCCAGTTTCTATGGCAAACTAGTGTGGCTACTGGGATTAAAGATGTGTGATACCACTGCCTGGTCTGTAAGGCTGACCAGTGAGGCTGTTTTACTCTTTGACCTTCTGGCAAGCCTTATTTACTAAAATAAAATGAAATAGCACTACATTTTCCCTTTTGGTCTAAAATAAAAAAGAAGGCTACAACTAATATAAGGAAACTATATATAATAAGTACAATAACTATATATAGTATATACAAGCAATAAATACATCAACAATGTCTAATCCCTTTGCATTTGATAAATTCAGAGGAAATACTCTGTATCTATCCTATCTTGGTGAGTCCAAAGTCTTGTACCTAACTTACTTTCTGTTATAACTTGCTTCCTGCAGCTGGTAAACAAGGAAAACTATAACTATCTAGTCTTTAACTCCCTCAGAGACCCAAGACAAAAATAATATTAATTGAGTAAGCAGGAAGTGTGAGCAAGTGACTTTCAAAAATGTGAGAGATGACAGAAACAGCTGGCTACCTGGACAGTCACCCAAAGTTCCTCTGCAACATTGGGCATCTATCTTTGGCCTACAGGCCTAGCATATCCAATAGACTTTTCTGTGAAGCAGGATATTCTGAAGGAATGTCTATTCTTGCCTTGACAATGTTTGGCAATTATTTTCTTTTGTATCATGCTTGTCCAATTAGGACAGCAAACTGTCAGCAGTTGAGGCAAGAGCACTTTCTTGCCAAGTGGTTTACTTTGCCAAAAGAAAGTAAACTCTATGTGTAGTTTTTTCAATTCCCATTGTCTTCTTTGAAGTAGATTGGTGCTGCCAGGAGCAGACAGGTCTCATTGTCATAAAAAAGAAGAACCTAGGTTATTAAAAACATCTTAAATGCCATATTAGTGGATTTCTGAAGTGTTTGAAGATGACCTGTTTATCTAAAACATATCTTTGTTTAACCTTGAAAACATACCTAATATGGCTGCAAGTTTGATTATAATAGGTGACTAATTGCTAACTTGCATTTTCCTATTGTCCTAAATAGTTAGTAATAATAACTTTAACAGACCAGAAATTTGCATTACATTGTTAAATGAGCTGTATAGGTACAATACCTTGAACAAGATTAGAAACATATGTGCAGTATATTTTAACAAAATTAATCACAAATTTGTATAAATATACAAAATTTTGTATATAATATATAAGAGTCCAATAAAATGGAAAACATTTAAAACTAGTAGCTGCTTTCTAAAAGTCGATTCAATAATTTACCTTTTTATCTTATAATGTCTATAATCCTCCTTTTTTTTCTTTTCAGAGTAGATTCAATAATCTATCCTTTTATCCTATCATATCTATATTTTCCTTTTTTCTTTTCAAAACAAGAACATTAATCTAATTTCCTTTGTTTATCTTTTTTCCTAACTATTATCCACAACAACTTGTAACTAACACTCTAAACAAAGACAAACAGTCATAATCCATTTTTAGGAATGTGGTCATAGTTTTCTAGGCTACTTCCTGATGATTGAGGATGCTGATAATCTTATGGGGATCCAAAGAAAATTCAGGATTATGATCAAGTCCTGACTGAAGTACTCTGTGGGGCTGGATCATCTCAGCCAGCAGTCTTGAAGCTGTTCTGGATGTAGAACTCAGAGGAAACTGCAACGGAGGTGCTCTAAAATGTTGGATCATCTGGGTCATCTGTTCCCACTGGAGATTTTTCAGGAGGTCTTTCTTGATCAAACCTTATTTTTCTTAACCCAGAAAGAATCCACAGCCCCTCACTGCCCATGGAGACAAAAGAAAAACCTCTTCTCCAAAGTAACATATATTTTGACTTAAATTTTGAAGTCAAGTCATATATATTTTTAAAATATATATGTTGGATTAATCCAGCAGGATTTATAATCAAATGTCTTTTAGCAACTGTTGCTCCTTCCTCAGCAGTCAAACAATTCAAAGACAACACAATAACCTACAGTATCCAGATTCTCTGTATTTTCTGTGTA